GTTACCCAACAGCAACTGGGGTCCTGCTACCCACCTTTGCCCTCCAGGCAAAATTCCAGAGGCAAAGGTTTGACGATGAAGGGAAGGAGTCTTTGTTCAGAAGCAGTCACTGAAGCCAACCAAGTCACAGCTTTAATCACTTAAACCTATCAATTAAGGCTACACTTTGCTGGTGTTGATGTTATTAGAGAGTGTGGATTGCACACAGGTGCCAAATAGGTTTAAACACGTGTTTGCACACCTTTTCCCCCAACTTCACACTGAGACTGAGGTAAGATTGAGGTGCAGGCACTGGCACCACGTCCTATCTCAAGCCATTAGCATGAACACTTGATGTAACACTTGCACCTGAGCACTTAATAGAAGTGCTGGATAGCAGTTGGCCGTGTGAATCCTTAGGGCTGGGCCTCCTCACTCCAGGCCCAAGCTCTGTCTGCTTCCTGCAGTTTTCTCCTTCACCCCCCTCACCCCGCTGTCACCCCCCCCCCACACCCTGCAGGGTGTTGGGAAAGCAGGAAGGAAATGAGATGGGGATAATCGGATGTAACACCAGCAGGCAAAGTCACAAATCATATGTGTGTCTTGGGGAAAGGTGTTTTCTAGAACAACACTTCCACATTGTGGTCTGCAGCCCAGCCGGTCCATCCACCCTCGATTACCAGTCACCAAAGTGAACATGTGAACCAGAGTGTAAATTCAGTAAATCATCCGTGTCACCACACATGTGGTTTAAGTCAGCTGGCTTTTGCTGCTGCTGTTGTTACAGGCATCGCTCAAGGAAGGGACCGGTGCGTTGGTTACATTCTGGTGCGGTTCCTTGCGTAGTGCTGGCTGTTCCCGGGAGACGCTGAGTTTGTTGTGACTCAGTAAAAGCTGTGTGTCCTCTGTGGGGCCCTGCGTGCACATTCACTGTAGCACTCGTCACACTGTATCGCAACGGTCTTCATGAAACATCACAAAGTATTTATGTAGTGTCTATTTTTCAGTTATAAAAACAGTACATGCTAAGCCATAAAAAGGAATGGCATTGTGATTTATGTTAGAATGGGAACAAGCCTTGAAGAGACTAAGCTAAGTGAAATAAGCCATACATAACAGGGCAAATGTTACATGATTCGACTTCTATATAAAGTATCCAGAATCGGCTGAGTCATAGCGACAGAAAGTACACTAGAGGTTATCAGGGCTGGGAGGAGGGAAAGTGAGCAGTTTCTGTTTGGGAGGGGGAAACATTTTAGAAATAGCGGTGATGGGTGCACAACATTGTGGATGAATTTGATGCCACCGTGCACTTCAAAAGGGCTAAAATGGTAAATTTGATATTTTATCATAACAAAAAAAAAAAAAACCCAAACTAGTACAGGCTGGTAGAAAGGAATTCAAAGAACATACCTATGCATAAGGCAAAAAATGAATAAGAAGCCTGAGAGAATCTCCCAAGAGACTTGATAAACACTCGAAAGGGGCACTGTGATTGGTTGAGGACAGGCAATCCAAGGGCCCTGCGAGCTGGGCTTGGCGGGCAGAGGAAGTGGGGAGACGGAGGCTGTTTCCTGTGGTGACAGCGTGTACCGCATCTGTCTCCTCCGACCGTACCCTCCGCTGGAACCCACACCACGCCCAGACACCTGTCCTCTGATCCGAGGATGTGCTGAGGGCACCCAGGGAAAGGAAGGGCAAGAGGGAGAAACCTGTCTCCATTGTCCAACAGAAGGTGTGGAATTGTCTTGAGAGCAACGTGAAGTTTTCTGCCCTCGGTGGAAATGCAATGACTAAAATGGCCAAGGAATCTGGAGTAACAAAACCATAACAATAAGTGCCATGAAAGTACCCATGCCGTCCTCCATGGTACCTACCCTCAGCACTCCTACCTTGATGAGGGGAAGGTGTTGGCGTGACAACTACCCCAGGATGCTCTAGATCAGCTGGGAGGAGAGTGGGGTGTTCGGGCCTTCCGACCTCCAGCAGTGTGGCGTCTCCCTGGCCCCACACCACAAACTGTGTCTGCAGTACAGCTGATGGCGAACCCATGACACTACCAGAAGCCTTTCCTGTACCACTGAGCGGTGACTGTGAAGAATTTTACTCCCCTGACTTTTGCATGAGTGGGAGGCCTGGCCGTGGAGATTGTTGGTTGTGAAGAAATGTGAAGACGCACTTGACTGAGCTGGGGTGAGGACCGCAGCAGTTCAGGTGGAGTGCAAGGTCATGGTCTCCGTGGAACTCTGAGAGCCAGCGCTCGCCCCCGCCCCGGGAAGGCTACGCTGCGCTGAGCCCAGCACTGCCCGCAGCTCTGGGATAGGAAACAGCTTGGGGCCTATCCCCAGGCGCTGTGCTGCTCGCTGCTCGCTGCACACCTCCCCCCCCCCGCGCCCCCCCCCGCCCCCCGCCACGCAGCCCCGCCCACTGCCTCGGCCCCTGGCCGCGGTCTGGTCTTCTCCTCTCGCCCTCCGCCTGACCGCTGCGGCTCAGTTCTTTCGGTCCGTGCTGTACCTACTTTTCAACCACTTTTCTGTATTCCTCCGAAGCTAAGCGTGAGCCATGGGAATTTGTCTTAGTCAGCTCAGGCTCCTGTAACCAAAATATGACCGACTGGGTGACCTAAAAAAAAAACAAACCCGCAAACATTTACTTCTGGACACTGGGAGGTCCGACATCAAGGGGCTAGGAGACGCAGTGTCTGGAGAGAGCCTGATTCCCGGTTCACAGGCGGCCGCCTTCGAGCTGTGTCCTCACAGGGTGGAGAAAGGGCGAGCCAGTTCTCAGGTCTTCCTTATAAGGGCACTAACTCCATTCATGAGGCTCCACTGTCAGGTCCTCCTAGTCACCTCCCAGAGGCCCCACCCCACCACGTTAGCATCAGGGCTTCAGCGTGTGAATTTTCCTGGAGGGTGGGCACAAACGTTCAGTGTGGAGGATACCTGCCAGCAGTACCCATCTCGGCTGCAGATGCTCCTCCAAACACGAGGAAAACATACACAGAGACATCCAGGTCCTGTGGGAGAATGGGGACAGAAGGGCCACTCCTCAGGCTGGGGGGCGCCTTGGCCACCCTCTCTCCTGGAGGGTGCTGCTTGTTCATTCCCAAGCAGATTTTTATTGAGAAAACAGACTTAGTTTGTGGATTCACAGTCTGGCAGAAAAGATCAGAAGAAGTAGGCAACTTACAAAGGTGGGGACAGAACCCCCGCTGTGATTCTGGGCAAAGGTTTGGGGTTTTCACATATGGCTCAAAGGGCTAGTTTTGGTTTCCTGTCTGTGCTTTTTAATTTCAAGTTAATAACATCCTCCTGCAAACAGATCTCACAGGATCTTGCATATTCTATGTCCCAGGCCTGATTACCCCAGGGGTCCACCGACTCTGGTCTGGGCTGTTGCGCCCCTGCAGGTTTCAGAAGACAAAGGCAGCCAGGAGACTTGGATTTCTCACATCCAAGAACAAAGACTCAGGCTTTGACAAAGCCAAGGGGGCAGGGGTTGATGTCCATCACCCCTTCATTTCCACAGCCCCAAGAGTCTTGTCCCTGTTATTCCTTCGTGAACGCGTCTGTCTTAGATTCATTCTCTATCCAAGAGAATTGTTACCCGTCATTGACTGCCGACCATGCCAGGGAAATAAGTTTTGTTTCCTTCAGTGGCTCCTGGTCCGGAGGTCTTTTACTCAGCCTAAGTCATGGGGGGGTTACAGCTTCCTGAGACCAGGCAGGGCAGCCCCCAACAGTACAGTCTGTAACATCCCACTTTCCACTCCTCAATGAAGCCATCTGGTTCCAGCAGATTTTAGGCTGAGGGTCCCGGCTTGCTATGAAGACGTGAATGACATGGGCCTTTTTAGGCTAACACACAGGGCTTATGGATGGCCCATTTATACAACACGACCCGACATAGTACTCAACCTCCATGTGCTTCATTTTCTCCATTTGTAAAGTGGGGAAGAGAATGGCTTGTTCTGAGGCATATTTATGGGTCAATATGCATAAGGAGATAAGGAGAAACCTGGGCCCACATGGTAAGCACTCAGTAAGTGTCTGCTATTACTGACCTTCACATTGCATTATGGGTAAAGAAAAAAAAACACTATTTATTTACATGTTGTCCAAAGACCCGCTTCATCTAGCACTTACCTCTCGACAGTAGCTGGCTCCCTGCCGTCCCCCAGGTGCCGGCTCCGTCCAAAGCGCAGACCTCATACCCACTTTCTGTTCTGCCTGGAAGGTTCTTTCTCCCTCCCTATTTTGTTGATTCCTACTCATAGTTCTAACCTCAGCTCAACTCTTCCTTCCTCTGGTGAACCTCCAATCTCACCAACGAGACCACACCACAACCTGTTCTGCTCCCTAACAGTTCTCAGGGAAGTTGAGCTGTGACGTTACCATGTGAGACCACAAGGGCACCCGCCGTCTGTTCTGCCCGCCGCTTTATTTCCAGCACCGAATGCAGTGCCTTTCGCACTGATCCTAAGGGAAGTATGTCGCACAGATGTGTGGATGGAAGGAGGAGTGAGGAAACAAATGATCACCTAACTGCTCTTCTCTGCCGTGAGCCAAGCAATACAGGATGAGACTCTGCTCCCATTGCACGTTGCCAAAACATGGTGACTGCAGGGCAGTTTCCCAGTCTGTTTTAAAACACGGATTATCAGCAGATCTGAATCGGCATCTGGAAATCTGTTCTTTTAAAAACAAGTTCCCCAGGTGATTCCGAGCCGCAGGCGGGCTGAGGACACGTGGCTGCTCTCAGGGAAAACCTGGGGAGGAGGATTAGATGCCTTGCACCACTGCTGGCAAGCTCCAGGGCACTGGAGTGTTTAGTGAGATCACGGCAATGGCTGTGTAATTACTGTGCACTGCTAGAGTACACAGCATTACAAAGTGAACGCACTGGTGCGCTGCCAAAGCCACAGCCCAAGCACGCCCGCACCCACAGAGCCGTGTGATCTTTGCTCCTCGGCAAGGTCCTCGCGGAGTTAGAGAGTGCAGTTGGCTGCTTTCCCGGCACTCCTCTCTCCCCGTCCTTTCCACCTGCTGCCTGTCTGAACGCCTGCGCCGCCAGTGTGGGAAGTAAGTGAGCGCGCCGCTGCCGCCGCTCGGGTCCGTCTCCTGAGCATGTTTGCCCCGACTCCGGTCTTGGTGGCCGTCGTCTGCATTTTGATTGTGTGGATCTACAAAAATGCCGACAGAAGTGTGGAGAGAAGGAACGGGGAGCTGAAGGCCAGGTCCAAGCCTCGTCCCTGGGTGGATGAAGACTTAAAGGACAGCACTGAGCTCCACCAGGTGGAGGAAGGTAAAGACTCGGGCACCTTTCGCATTTCTGTGATGTGAGCATGGACGGCAGGGCCTGTGGTGGGGGTGGGGGGGCGGTGGGCAAGAAACTCTGCAGGCCAGTTTCCTCGTCCACCGCTGCTGCACAAACAAGGTCATGAGTGACAGGGGCAGGTCGTGTCTCCTGGGTGGTCAGCTTGTTGCCGGCTGGCACCAACCCCTCTGTACTCCTGGATAATTCTCAGGGAGCCGTGGAGGGCTGATATGCTCTCCCTGGCTCCGTTCTGTTCCGGCTGTTACAGCCTTTCTGAGGGGGCGCATCACAGGCTAGGGGTGGCCGTGGGGCAAATGGTCAGGTTTTGATGAAGAACTTTGAAATTTGAAAAGTGGCATCTATGGAGCGTGGCCTTTGACTGCGCCAGGCCCTGTGGGTTAGAGACAAGAAGGGCCGTTGTCCTCCAAGTTGAGTGTCCAGTTCAGTAGACACGGCAATCGACAGGCAGCAGTTAGAGAGCGACGAAGAGATGCGAACCAGGCAGCGTCGATCGTAGTGCGTTGGGAGGAGATTTGGGACGTGGTGGGGCACTTAGCAAAAGGACGAACCGGGCCTAGGGAGCTAGGAGGACAAGGAGAACAAGGATCGGGAGGCATCTCAGGCGAGTGGGGCGAAAAGAGCAGAAGTACGGGGCCAAGCCCCTGGGAAGGAGGACGAGAAGACGGGAGGACTGGGCCGACCGGGGAGGGGTAAAATGAAGCAGGGCAGCGAGGTGGGGCCAGGTCACGGCTGACGTGTGAAGAGGCAGTGACTGAGGCGGTTGGGCAGGGAGGGAGAGGTTCTTGAGGAGCCCCGCGTGATCTGCGTTGGTGGTTTTGTCTGAGGTCGGTCTGTGGGATGGATTTGATTTGGAAGAGGTTCAGTGGTTCCCCGCTGGGCCAGTGGTGCTCCCATCCGCCAACAGAGGCCACCTGGAAGTGTGGCATTTGTATGTATGCATGTTCATTTGCATGTGTGTGTGTGCGTGCATGTGCTGTGAGTTGGCCTAAGCTCAGGAGCAGGGCTGAGGAACCCAGCTGGCGGTCCGTGCGAGGAGCCAGCGACTCTGACTGCACAGGTCCCAAGCCCAGAGCCTCTTAGAAGGGCTTCCTCCTGCCCTCCTGTGCGGACGGTTGTCCCTCTGGCAGCCATGCTGCCAGTTACGCTCAACTGAGAAGCGTTTCCCTTGACCGGAGGGACGGCCACGACAAAGCTGGGCAGTGATTGGCTCTGGGGACGATGCCTGGATGGCAGTGGCAGTAGGAAACGCAGGGGCCCCCGCGAATGAGGGTGAAGGTAAAAAGGAGAACTAGAGGGTTTGACAATAAGGGAGATGTTGGGGAACTAAGGAGGCTGGATGAGTCAGAAGGACACCATCGTAAATGGTGCCAGATCCAGTTTAAAGGGGAAGAGGAGTGTCGTCTAGGATGTGTGAGATTTGAGAAGAGAGTGTCACATCGAAGCAGAACAGCAGACAAGCGCATAGACGAGGGATCCAGGCCACAGGTGCTGGTCGGAGAGCCACGGGCATAGGGGCGAGACTTGGACCTCTATGGACCTCTAGGACAGCTAATGAACTCACTAAGGGGGTGTTGCTAGAGAGGAGACTGCGGATAGAACTTGGCGGGGGTGGGGGGCATTGCACCTGTAATTAATTAAGAGGAACTGTGGTGGGAGAAATGGGCTATGGAAAAGAAGATACAGAAAAAGGAGCGCCAGGATAAATAATAATAATAATAATAATAATAATAAAAAACAACAAGTAGTACTTACTGAAGTCAGTGTTACAGTGTACTAAAATATTTGGTCTCCATAACAACATAGTGAAGTAGGCACTATGGTTGTCCCCATTTTACAGATAAAGAACCTGAGACCCAAATAGGCTAAGTCACCTACCTAAGCAAGTCGGGGTAGAGCCAGGACCCAGCCAGGCTGGCTCCAGAACCCGGGCACTTAGCCGTGTGCTAGGCTGCCCTTGCAGTAGGAGAATGACCTCCAGTGCAGGAGGCAGGAGACGGCCAGCAGATGTAAAACTGCCCTGAGAGCCTGGAGGTAACGTGCACCGAGGGAAAGCCGCTGGGTTTGAAGACATAAGGGTTTGGGGGATACGAAAGGGATTGACAAGGCCAGTGGGGAGTCAGAGATCTCCAGGGACTGGGCCTGGAGGTTGGCTCAGTTCCGGTTTTCTGCCTCATTATTCACTTCTCCAAATCCTCCACCCCTTGGTCTCTATTCTTCCCACAGAGGAGTGAGTCGGACACATCGTGGACTCCTCAGCAGCCATGCTGCCCTGAATGAACAGTTCACAGTCTCTGGGTGAAATGTTCGTGGTTTACCTAAGTGAAACCGACCGACTGAAGTCACTCAGGTGGTAGGGGAGAGCCGAGGTTTAGACTCAGCCTCCTCTGCCCCACACGTCCCAGCGCCTAACCACTGGCTGGGCGGACACGGCCTAAGAGAGGACCCACCGCTGGTCCCGCAGGTTTGAAAGGGGTGTAATTGGAGGAGAGGAAGGATTCCACTACTGAAGACATAGGGAGAGGGCTTTGATGACAGCAAATAGAAGCCAGATTAAAAGAATCAGCCGAAAGAGATAAGACCATTAAATAAGTGTGGTAGGCCTTTTTAGGGTGAGTGAAGGAATTATCTGATTCATGGAGAATTCCTGTCCCACACCCAGAGACCAGCAAGTGTGGGGGCAGGTTGGTGGGGGAGCTTTGAGACATGAGAGAGGCCCAGCTTATTGGATGTCAGACACAAAGCTTCTCCAGGGATCCGTCATCATGGTGTTCCATTAATACTTCTAAGTTTCATATTCTTCTGCAGCAAAGGTCAAAGAAGGAGAAGTTGCAGTATTGGGTTGGCCAAAGAGCCCATTTGGTCTTTTCTGTAAGATGGCTCTAGTACTTCTTAGCTGGCTTTCACTTCAATGGGAACAGTTTTGTTAGGTTGTATTGTGACAGCTGTCATATCAGTGTGCATTAAAAAAAACTTATCCAAGTTGGTGAATTTTTAGATAGCCATTTTAATATTGAAGATGGAAGAAAACAGGCAACATTTTTGGCATATTATGCTTTATTAATTCAAGAAAGGTAAAAACACAACTGAAATGCATAAAAGATTTGTGCAGCAAATAGAAGCCTCTGACTTCTAAAAGGCAGCAATCCAGGGAGGACTCACTCCAGTGCCTGCAGCCCTGAGTGCCAGCCAATCAACAACAGTCTCAGCCCAGTAACACTGTTCCTACAGATGGTGTCAACCCTCTTATGCCTGGGAGTCCACCATCCCCTGAACTCCATTCTGCCCAACCAGGTGGTGTGCCAGCGCAGGAAATCTGAGGGTCGTTTTTTTCAATGATCAGTATCTTGAACTCAGGACACGACGGGACATACCATGGACGTGGGCAAGGGCTATAAATCTGGGCTCTTCCCCTGTCCACTCAGAGAGCTGGTTTACCAGACGCCGCTGACAAAAATGGTATATAAGATCAGCATTCCACCGCCTGCCACCAGACTCCCCTGTCCCCACCCACCCCTGTTGCTGCTAGTGAAAAGCAGTCAACCTGGACTGCAGCTAGGGAGGTGGCTGACTGGAGGTCACACAAGAGCCGGAGCGGTGGCCGGGGCAGTTGGGAAGGAGGCACTGCCGGGCCGGGTGCTGAGCCCTGAAGTGGCTCCCACCCCACCTTCAGAATCTGTCTGCTGTGCAGGCCACATCTCCTTCAGCCCGAAGGCTCCCCAAATGTGCGGGCAGGGAACAAGGATGACGTGATACCTGTTGGCCTATAGTTTCGTAGCTGGATACTATTGGGCTCATTTTGTAGAACTAAAAAACATGTATCAACTTATGTAGAGATGCAGCCAAGAAAACACCTTCACCTTAAACATTAAAGGAGAGACATGACCTAGGATTACTTGGCCACTAAACCTAATTATGGAGCTGTTTACTCTTCCTTGGCATTAAAGCCATGACAAAAGGTGAATTGCTTCGGGGTCAATAGCCAACCCCGAGTGTGGGAGCACAGGACGGACATTAAAAAGCAGACCGCAACGGCACACCTTTGTGTTGGAGATACGTGGGCCTCACAGCTTGAACGAATCCCTAGAGCAACTTGGCTGGTCTAGCGTGGAGGCATGGCTGTCTCTCCTCCTGGCGAGGGCCACATCCTGGGGGCGGTGAGGAGGTCAGGGGGAGGAGAGAAGCGGTGCCTTTTGCATTTGTGTTGCTTCACTGCCCTGCTGGGCCCTCCTGGAGCCTGGCTCTTTCTTTCCCTAGACAGGACGCAGACCTTTGGCCCTGGGACAGGCTCCAGAAACAGCAGCTTCCCTTCACCACCACCCCTGCCCCCACCCCAGCTGCACTGCAGGGCCACCCAACCCAGCAGGGATTAGGCCATTTCTTCAGTCTGCTACAAGTGGGAGCACCTACCCTGGGCTTTAGAAGCTGCGGAAATTGCCAGGTCATGCACTTAGGCTGCCTTGGGTTTATACAGGGCTAGCTGAATGGATCTTGAGAGTTAGCACACGTAATGACTCATTGGCCACTTCCTGACTACAGAGGTTGCCACTTCTTGACTGCACAGATTGCCAGACTTCAAAGCAAATGGCTTAGAAAGTCTCATTGGTATGGAAAGAGTCTTAACACATTTGAGTAAATTCGGTCTTGGTAATGATGACACGTGAGTTTGATTCAGAACTGATAACTAGAAAGCTGAGAGGTGTCGACCGCTCCCCCATCACAACTGCTTCCTTTTAGCTTAGTCACTGGGCCTTCTCATTAAGTAAGTGCGTACAGTCTGGGCTCTGCTAGTAAAATGTCAAAAGCAGTTCTCACCAAGAGCTAGGAGCAAAATGGGGTCCCTGCTAGTGTTGTAGTTGGGTTCTCAGTCCCTTGGAAGTTAGTCCCTGTTTCATGCCAGCGCCCTTCCCCCTGCCCCCCCCGTGCTCAGGTGCCCAGGAGTAGAGTGTGTGGGAGCCGGGGGGGGGGGGCAGTTAACCCTCCCCCTGCATTCCACCTGGAATGTGCTGGCCCCTCAGGGCCAGCTCCCGGATCTTCTTGCCCTCCTCTCTCTGTTCCTAGGTGCCATTCTCGTCTTCATGTGAGGGCTCCCAAGGTGACATCTCGCCTCTCGGACATTCACTTTCATACCTGACATCTTTACTTGATGGCATCGTCAATGAGACACACTGTGGGTTCCTATTCCTACTTCTGCCCCTGTCCCCCTCCCCGCCCCCATGGTTCATCCCTCATCATCTTATCTCAGTGGAGGGTTCCATTGTCCCCCCAGGCACTGGAGCCAGCAACCTGGCAGTCAGCCTCGGTTCCTCCCTCCCTCCCCTTCCCAACCACACACCTTAGCACGTCTTATCCCTTTTATCCCCAGATGCTTCGAGAATCTGTGTGCTCCTGTCATTCCTTCTGCCACCAGCTGGTCCAACACAGCATCATCCCTCACCTAGGCCACAGCAAAAGTCTCTGTCCGGTTTTTCTTTTTCTGCTTGGTCTCCCTCCGATGTACACCTTTAAGAGCATAACTCAGATTGCATCACACTTGCGCTTATCTTTGTATTCCTTCCTACGACACTTTGGCTTCTCCACAGTCTTATCGGAGTACGTTCTCTGGGCCCACAGAAGTAGGCTCTTGCCTCCTTCCCAGCCCTTACTCTCTCCTTCGTTCAGTCAGACCCAGCCATATCTGGTCCCTTCGGCCGCTCAGATATGCCTGAGGCAGACCTTGCCCCATCCTCGGCCCTCCAACACGAGTCTCTCATTCTTCAGGTCTCACCGGCTGTGCCGTACATTCAGAGAGTCCCCTTTAGTCTTCCCTGCCTGGGCCCCCCTTCCTGACTCTCTCCTTCTTTGTAGAGAATGAGTCGTTCTCATCGTTGATGTTGCCATACAGTGTACATTCTCCGACCAGTTTAAATGTTTTTAAGTTCTGAGTACAGAAACTGTACCTATTTTGTTCACTAATGTATAGTCAGTAAGTGCTAAAGAAAAACCTGGTTGAGTAAACTGTATGTCTCTGCCTTCTAGGAAGATTTGGGGTTGGGTAGTAAACATCTGTGTATGACATTTTACTAAATGTAATATGTACACAACAATGTCATAACATTTTACTAAATGTATAATAGTATGTTGTGTTTTGCAAATATATAATCTATAACATTGAAACTTTTTCCCCCACCAAACTAATCACACTTACTAGAGATTTTTATTCTTCTGGGTTACCTTTTCCCCTCAAATGCCATCATCACCAAAAAAAAAAAAAATCTGCAAAATCATTGCTACAGACATCTCCTGAACAGAGGCCTATGAGGAGAAAGTTGTTCAGTCCCACTGACAATAGAAAGAGGTCAAGTTTAGGACTGCCCCACTTTCTCATGCTGTTTCTTTTATTGAATGTTTTAATGCTCGTATAATCCTTTTCTCCCTTCCTCCACCTTTCCATTCTAGTCAGGCCTGCTGCAGATTGTCTGGGAGCCAGAGAGCAGCTGAGTTCATCCTACTGAGCAGAAATTAAAAGGGGGGAAAGGCTGAGTCATCAGTTCCTCTATCCCACAGGTTCAGAAGGCCAGTGTCCTGCCAGGATTTCTGAGAATTGCCAGGAGCTGGAGCTCTTGGGGCCAGTCTGATTCTGAGCTTCGGGCCCGTGGCTTCCTGACTTTTTGTCGGCGTTTTTTCTTCCCCCTTGCACCCACTTGCCTGGGGAAATCACCCCTTTTTTCATTTTCTTTCAGTGATTTGTCCACTTCCCAGCCACTCACTCAGTGTATTGGCATTCAGGGCAGCAGCCCTTTCTTCCTTCCAACGGTCTTTGGTTTCCCATTTGTAGACCTGCCTGTGGGCTTTGCCTTCCTTCCCTCCTGACTCCTGAAAACATAGATGAAAATTCAAATGTGTCAGAATTGCTCAACGCAGCTTCTGTGTTTATTTATCTCTGCAGGTTCACATTTTCTCTTCAGTTTTGGCATGGGAATTTCTTACTATGTTGTCAATAATACAATGATTCTAAAAGGACTTTTAAAATATTTTTTTGCCAGACTTTAAATTTATTTTTTATTTAAATTGTATTTTATTGTTTATGCTATGAAAAGTTATCCCAATTTTCCCCCTTTGCCCCCTCCCCCCAGACCCTCCCACTCACCCAGCTCTTCCCCACACCATTGTCCATGTCCATGGGTCCTGCTAAAGACATTTTAATTAGTGACCTTAGTGGTTTTCAGCTGATGAGAGACTGTTCTAAATAAGCTAGTTCACTCTTCACAAAAATTTGCATTCTTCATCTTTACGTAGGTAATTTTTTTTTCTTTTTCTTGATTTATAACCAGTATAGAGTTTGTTGTTGTTTTTTTGTTTTGGTTTTTTTGTTGTTTTTTTGTTTTTGTTTTTGTTTTGTTTTGTTTAGAGAGGGAAGGGAGGGAGATAGAGAGAGAGAGAAAAAAACATCAATGTGTGGTTGCTGGGGGTCATGGCCTGCAACCCAGGCATGTACCCTGACTGGGAATCGAACCTGCAACACTTTGGTTCACAGCCCACGCTCAATCCACTGAGCTACGCCAGCCGGGCCAGTATAGAGTTTAAAGTGTTGTCAGGACCAGAGGTCGGGACTCTGTGGATCTATTCACCTCATTTTTTTGCTGATGTTTTGACTCATAGTGGACATTTTTGAATATTTTATCTCTTTCTCCCCAGTGGCCACTGTGTGACCACAAAAAGTCACTGAATTTGATACTCTTCTTGTTCTTATTTGCAGATGCCGATGAATGGCAAGAGTCAGAGGAAAATATTGAACACATTCCATTCTCCCACACCCGGTATCCTGAGAAGGAAATGGTGAAGAGATCCCAGGAATTTTATGAGCTTCTCAATAAGAGACGCTCTGTGAGATTCATAAGTAATGAACAAGTCCCAGTGGAAGTCATCGATAATGTCATCAAAACAGCAGGTTTGCAATCGCACGTTGGGTCTTCGAGGATGCCAGCTGCATTACCGCTATGGTAGTACTGGAGCGCTGTTGGAGTTCGAACACAGTGATTAAAGCCTAGAGCGCTGAGCTGGCCTTAAAAGCCTTCCCCAGGGGTTGACTGCCGGAAACATAATGATTCCCACTTTCTACAAACTTCTGACTATTACTAACTTCTTGGGAACAAATGTGGCAACAGTTCAAAACTTCTAAAAAGTAGTCAACATTATAAACCTTTATTAAAAACAAAAGTTTCTGAATACACTATTATACGTCAAAAGAAAGAGAAATATCTGCGTTCTTCCCCCTCCCCTCAAAACACACACACACACACACACACACACACACACTCACTCACTCACAGGTACACATTTCTCTTTTTGGAACCAAGTTTCTTATGCTGTACACCATTGTGCTCTCATACAGTAATCGACGAATCTTCCAAGCTTCCTTATGTGAACCCTTTTCAATGTAAATTAATACTTCTACAAAGAAAAACAACAATTATAGAAAAGTAGGAGGAGGAATGAAAGCAAGCCCACCTATTTGAGAGCCTCCTCTGCTTAGAGTTTTATTCATTTCCATTCAGTTAAGAACACAAATGCACTAAATTGGGGAGTCCTTTGTGTAACTAATAGCGATTCCTAAATTTCATCTGTGTATCATCTGTATCCACAAATGTGTGTGTCCATATGATGCTTAGATAAATTTGGCATACTTGAAAACTTTAGGGAACGATTTATTTCTTAGATTAATGACACATGTTTTTATTGGACAAACAGCAGGCAGAAAGGGAGCTGGAATCGCTCTGTTCAGAAGTCGAACTCTATGTTGACCTTTCGACTGGGGAGAGGATTGCACAATTCAATCAAGCCCTCTCTGCCATGGGGAGTGGGGGTGGTAAACACGAGCATCGTCCAGGCTGGAGGCTTGAGGCCCCCTCATGGCGAGTTCATGCTATTAAATCCCTCACTAGGAAGAAGGGGAAAGTTGCTTCCGGAATATCCCACCCGAGGGTCACTGTGGTCTACTGCTCGGAACGTTTGGGCCGTTTCTAGGGCAGAGCAATGATGTCCAGGTCAGAAGCCAGGCTGGGCCGTGGCTGGAAGCTTAGAGGAATTCACGCTCCTTGGGCCCCGAGATGCACGATGAAGCTTTGTCCAGGACAGTGGGGCTGATGAAGGCGGGGGCTGAGTGTTTCTAAAGCCTGTGAGAGGCAGAGGACGCTCTGTTGTGGGCATTTAACACCCAGGTCCAGGAGTTCTTGCGTGTTCGCAACGAAACCACAAAACCCACAACAGAACTCAGACAGAACTCAGAGCTCTGACTGAGGCACTAAGGAATTTATGGTTTCATTTCTGTTGGAGGGTTGTTTTACAAATAAAAACCATTTAACCATTTAAATTTTTACCACCTCCAATAAGCTTCATGACTTTATCTGTGTGCAAGGGTATTAGAACAAAGGACGTTGTGGAGAATTGGGGCTGTCAGAATGTCACCACCCTTGGTGGTTGTGGCGCAGTCACGTAGAGGCCTTCCCTCCCACGTGGTTAGAGAGGCAGTGACAGACCCCCGCAGCCCTGGGACTGCTGGCCTTGACCTCAGTGGGCTGGTGTGGAGCCTCCCCCAGCGATGCCGGATGAACGGGGTGGGGGTGCTGGAGGTGGGGGCAGCAACACCCCACAGTCTACCGCCAAGCACTTTGTTTGCTAGAAGATGTAACTTCATTTGGAGCAAGTAGGAATTACTCTATCGACTTTTTTTTTAAGATTTTATTTATTTACTTGTTAGAGGGAGGGGATGGGAGGGGGAAAGAGAGAGAGAGAAACATCAATGTGTGGTTGCCTCTTGCATGCCCCTTACTGGGGACCTGGCCCACAACCCAGGCGTATGCCATGACTGGGAATCGAACCAGTGACCCTCTGGTTTGAAGGCCAGCGCTCAATCCACTGAGACACACGAGCCAGGGCACTCTATCAATTCTTATTTAACAGTTTCCCATTTTCCTGCAGTTTTAATTTCTGATTTTAATTTGATACATGACAGGAACGGCCCCGAGTGGAGCCCACACAGAGCCCTGGACCTTTGTGGTTGTGCGGGACCCGGACGTGAAGCACAAGATTCGGGAGATCATTGAGGAGGAGGAGGAAATAAACTACATGAAAAGGATGGGGCAGCGATGGGTTACAGACCTGAAGAAACTGAGGTACAAAAGGGGGTGGAGTTAGGGATGTGTGGTTTGGCTTTTTAAAAATGATATAACTATGGCTTCAGTTTCCTGGTTTTGTTTTAGGTGTTAAAATGTTCTATTCCACCTCCGGGAGGAATTATGGAAGCTAAGCCAGGCCTCGCCACTATATTGTCTTGAGCACATATACCATGGAGTGGTGGGAAACACACCTGGAATCAGGTCTGGGTTAAATCTTGGATCTGGTCTTCCAATCGCAAGCATTTGGGCCTCGGGCATTTATTTACCCTTTCTAAGCACGTTAGTCTGGGTTCTCCAGAGAATCGATGGAGAGAGAGACATACATAGAGACAGAAAGAAACATACACAGAGAGAAAGGGGTAGGGCTTTATTATATCAGTAATTGCCTCATGCCATTAAGGAGCCTAAAACGTCCCAAGATCTGCAGGCAGCAAGCTGGAGGCTCAGGAGGGCCGATGGTGTGGTTTCAGTCCAACTCCGAAGGCCTGAGAAGCAGGAGAGTGGATGGTGTCAGTCACAATCTGCCTTGGGTCTGAAGGCAGGAGCAGACTGGGGTCCTGGCTCAACACCTCCTCTCCCTTCCTCCACCTTTCCATTCTGGTCAGGCCCACAGCAGATTGGATGGGAGCCACCCCCTGGGGAGAACTACCCTCGTCCAGAAACGCCCTCACAGACACACCCAGAATAATGTTTAACCAACTATCTGGAGCCCCGTGGCCCAGTTAAGGTGCTGCATAAAATTAACCACCACACAGAGCTTATCTCACTCAAAATCATGATGTTGAAAAGTTGGTGTCAGGATTAAATAAGATAGAGTCTAAGAATAGTGCCTCATGCGAGATCTACCACTCAGTAAGCTCTCTGTGACTCAGCCGCCTCTGTGTACAGTGGGGACGAGTCTGGTGTTTACTGCATGGAATGAGTTTGGAAGCGTGGAGAACAGCGGTGGCAGGTAGTCCGTGCCGTGTGCATCTTTAGTAGATAAATGGGCTCTGACCCAAGCAATAGTAAATAAACCTTTGAAAACTTATTTCACTGTTCTCCCATGTGAAATGTAAGATTGTGAAATACTTCTCAGGATCTCGAGTAAAGTAAATTACATTTTGCTAAATTGATCAGCTCTTCCAAATGACCTTACTACCCAGACTTTAGTTTTAGTCCACGTCTGCTGAAAGTACGGGTGCAGTACAAGGATAATATGCATTAGGCGGCCATCCATGTGTGGCTTCCTCGTTGCCCAGAAAGGAGTGAAGTGGAATTCTGGGTAACTGGTGCCCCTCCGGTGCCTGAGTGCATGCGGGCAGACACGCGCAAGGTTTCAGTTTCCCTGGTGGCTGCAGCTCACTCTGCCTTGTCGAGTCCTCTTTCCCTGTGGAGGGGCATAATAGCCTTTCATAATGTCTCGGTGGATTCCATACTTCCTCAGCCACGTTTGTGATTAAAATGGTCACTTTCGATGTTTTAGATTCAGCCATGTCCTTAAAGAAAATGGTGCGAGTCCTCCTCACAAAGGCGAATTCCTTTCCCCTCCCCTCTCCTCTCAGGCTGAGCATGAGGAGGGGTGGGGCCCAGATATTGGGCCTGACTCCCCAGAAGGGGGGCCAGCTCGAGCCCTTAGCACTTGGAATGTGCAGGCCCTCCTGCCTCTGGCCGTCAGCCAAGGGCTTTGCGTGGTCAGGTCTGGCGCCTGCCACCCAATGCCCCTCCAGGAAACAAGCCTGAGGAAGGGCAATGGGGTCTCAGTCCCGGAGGGGAAAGTGGGATGATGAGAAGTGAGCTTCTCAGCTTTGCTTCTGTCCCATTGATTTGGCCCCAGAGGACAATTTTTTTCCCCTAAAATATTTAAACCCTATCAAAGTGGATGACTTATGGAATTATAACTTACCACTGTGTCCTGGAATGAGTGCAGGATATTAATAATGAATATAAAAACCTTATTGCCTAATTGCAAGAAAAACTGAGGTGGGTGGAAGTCCAGCTGAGTTTCCGCACTCAGAAAGACGTTGCGCCCCAGTGCGCACTGTGGCTGTGAAACGCTGCCAGCCCCTGTCCCTCTCCCTGGGCAGGGCGGCGTGAGCTGCTCTCTCCTCACAGTGCTCACAGCACCTAACACATCTTCCATGCCCCTAAAGTAGCCACTATTACATGTATTTTAATTACTGGTTTACTTCTCTTCTTATTTTGTAGGCCTCATTAAGAAGCCTTTGTTGTACATCAAGATTCTTGAGAATCTTGAGCATTAAAGTTGTAGACTTTCTTTGCAGATAATATGTACACACACACACACACACACTCTAGGGGCCCAGGGAGCTCCAGTTTAAAATGGTCTTACACCATTAGCATAGCACTGATGCACAGCAGGCAACTAAATGAATGTTCAGTTCATTGAACTGCAGATGGGCGTATGTCCTGACTCCTGTTTGAATCAACTACGAAACCCATTAAAGGCCCAGTGTACAATCTGGGTCCAACCTGCCTGCCAAACTTGACCCTCTCCTGCTTGCTGGTGAGACCCTCCACCCCAGGCAGCCCATGCTACTTGCCCTTCTCTTAACAGGCCTGCATGTTGCTGTTTTCATTAGCTCTTTTACGATGTCGTCATAAACTCTTGTACAATTGAACAAACCCAAATATTAGATACCAATGTGTGCCTAGGAAAAAATTCTGCAAAAATTGTTTAAATGACTACTTTGCTTTCAAACTAGGTAAATAGTTTAACTGTCATCTGTATTTACAATGAAAAAATTATTTACCATAAAGTAACATGAGTGGTAATACTAATACTAACAAACAGGCACGTGGTGCTACATACCAGGTACCAGTCTAAGTGCTTTATCTATGGTGACTGACTTCTGCCTCCCCATCGCCGTGTGCGGTGAGTGTACAAGAGCTCACGTACGTACGAGGAAACTGAGCCGTGAGATGTTAAGTGGCTTGCCCAACAGGGCACAGCTAGTTGGATCCAGAGTTTATCTTTTAAACCATTAACATTCTCCCTCTTTGTAAGAAAAAATCAATAGTTGTCAAATGTGGCTCAGCTCATTCATATATAGTCGGGAAGCTTTGAATCATAGTCTGTTAAGAAACCACAAAAAAACACACAGATGACTTTAGTGAGTTTTAAAACAGTGAAGCATAGCTAAGCTAAAAATAAATGATCTCTTGCTAATTAATGGCATAATATACCCTAAGAAAATATTCCAATATACAGTATTACATGATTATCTTTCCTTTGAATATCTGGGTTAGAATGAAGCTTTTGCCCAAATGTATGGAATAAAGTAATGGTATAGACAAAGATATGCTTCTAACTGGTAAACAAAAATTTAAACTCAATGCATGTACCTCCCATGAATTACCTCCCATCCCCATAATTGGGCCAACAGCATTACCATCCGCCCACCTGCAATTTCAGTTAAACCTGCAGTTTCAGCTAAACCTCCCCGCCATCTTCTTCTTCGCTCTCGCACATTCCTGCACCGCATCCGTCAGCCTCAGCCTCCACACCTCGCCCAGGTTCTCCTAGGCCATTGCCATGGTCTCCTGGCTGGTCCCCCCTTGAGCTGGTCCCTCACCCACACACATTCGCCTCTTCCTGGAGCTGAGCTGACCGTGGAGTGCTTCTGCTCAGAGGTTAACGGTCACTCTCCATCACCTACCAGCTGGAGTCCAGGGCCCTGCAGAATCTTCATGTGACCTGTCAGCCCAGCCATGCCCCTCCCCATGCCCCTCCCACTCTGTAGCCTACAGGGCTCCTGGAAATCTCTGCCAAGCCCCATCTGTCCCGGCCTTCAGTGTCCTGCCTCAGGGGAGACTGGGAGTGTCCTTCCAATCTCCTCACTCAGAATAAGCACTTCATTTGGGGGGCTTCTAATGCACTTGGCTTATATTTCTTAAACAGCGCGCACAAGGTTTTATTTTGCCAAAGCTGGCTTACTGCCTTCTAGGTTACAGGCTCCCTCTTTGCATTTTTTAGATGTTCAGGTGCTTTGCCACACTGGGCCCTTGTGAATACCTGCTCACTGGCTTGGATAGAAAGAGATAAGGACGGCACAAACAAAAATCCTGCTCTTTTTCCATTTAAACGTAAAAGACAAGTGAATGTGTTTTATATGCAACATAGATAAGCAAAGGTTGTAAAAAGAAAACAAAAGTCATTTAGAGACCCTATTCTCCAGAATATCTTTTTTTTCTTTTTCCTCTCAGAACTAGTTGGATTAAAGAGTACTTGGACACGGCCCCTGTTCTGATTCTCATTTTCAAACAAGTACACGGCTTTGCTGCCAACGGCAAAAGGAAGGTCCACTACTACAATGAGATCAGTGTCTCCATCGCCTGCGGCATCTTCCTGGCTGCCCTGCAGGTACGGCCCCTCCTACCGGGCCCCTCCCACTGGGCCCCAGGGAGAGACGGGGTGCTTAGGGGCCAAACAGCAGCCTTACTCACAAGCGGCAGCCAAGTTTCGGGTTCGGGGACACCTGGAAATTGTTTACCTAAAGTTGAATTCCTCAGTGGAAACTGACTGACAACCTGGGCAGGTGAGTGTGATGGTTCAACAAGCTGGAATTCTTCCTGGAAATCCACCCTGAACAGTGTTTCAGGGTCAGAGAAGTGGCCCTTGTGTTTGCCTTCTTCTGTAACGACCTGAAGGTCAAGGGTGTTGGCAGACACGCACTTTCAGAGCCCGGAAGTCCCAGGGACTGGTTTCCTAGCCGGGTTTGCTGTGGCGACTGAGCCGGTGGGATGATTGAAAAGCTGTAAGGAACGCTCTATTATTGGGCTTCTTCCCTGAGAAGCTGAGTTGACATGGTATTGAAACTGGAGGGCAACCACACCCGGGGCTCCTGCTGCCTGTCAACACTCAGCCAGAAGGCGGAGTCAGGGCCTGGAAGATAAACTGCGTTTATCCGGGGCCAGCAATCCGAGAAGGTGGCGGGTGAAAGACCATCACGTCCACCTTCCCTGGAGCTTTCAGAAACAAGTTTATCCAGGGGAAACGTGGGAACCTGGGCAGGCGAAATACCCAGAGGGAGTGCAGATGCGCTGTTTCCCTAGGGAATAAGGGGGGGAGGGGCTGCTGGCAGAGGAGTCCTGCAGCTTCTTCTGAGCCAGCTCTCTTGTTCCTGGTGTGCTGTCTCTCCATTTGGATCAGAACTCCTCTCTTCCCCGGACACCAGCGGTTTGCTGTCAGGGGGGTCGTGTATTCTCTGGTCTGGGAGGCGAGGACGTTTGCTCTCAAGTGTCCTTGGTTACGGGAGATCAGGTCTTGTGATCCACCAGCTGGCTGTAAGTTGCTCAAACGGCTTGGCCATGTTTAATTTTTTTTGGCTCAGTTTCCCCATTCCACGCGCCCAGGAATTTCCCTAGCCTCTTCCTATCCTGTTCTCAGTATTGCATTAAAAAAAAGATGCCCGTGTGTGCTTTTGGAAATTGTGTCTACGTAGTAGCTAAAGCAATACTAAACACAAAACCGAGCAGTTGGCGTAGGCCTTTTACATGATTCAGTCCGTTCCCTCAACAAATATTTTCTGAGTTCTTTCTATGGGACAGATCCTGGGAGGTGCCAGGAACAGCCACCAAGTGAAATGTACATTCTGGTGGGAACGGGGTTCCTGGGGTGGAGAGAGGCAGTAAACACGTAAAACAAGTAAAGCAAGCAAGACTATAAGAGCGAGTCTTCATCGTTTCAAGGGAGAACTGACTCCCACAAACCACTCTGTGCTTCTTCCCTATCTCACTGAAAATTTGTATGCTGAAAACACTTTATAAAATATGGTCCTTATTACACAGAAGAGAAATGGATCACGTGAAAATCTGTCCAAAAGGACCTGAAATCTTTCCTTTCCCCCTCGTTCTGTACATGAGTAAGTTGGAGGCATCTCAGTGCCTCAGGGCACCTCCGTCTATCTTAGGGTCCGGGAAGAAGCGAATTAGTCCTGGAGCAGGGTCAGCGTGCAAAGCGGCCTCCAGGCCTTGGAATTAGCAGCCTTTCCTCACGTTAGTGTTGAGTTTGCTGCCCTCTAGCGTCCCACACGCGTAGTGCTGGTGAAGGTCTTGATGTGTGATGGAGGAAAGGGAAATCTTCGAGGTCCCCATCTGAACACAGGCCATCATGACGGGGTTTGCAGGACTCAAAGGCAGTTCCAGAACTTTCTGGCTCAGGCTTGGTGGTTCTGATCTGAGTGGCAAAGCTTGGAGGTGAAGAGAGGGCCAGCTGACGTGGTTTTTATTAGATGTTTATTATGTGGAGGGGCTTGGAGAGAGGCTGATGAAGTCTTCTCTCTACCCCCTCCCTGGCTGCGGTGTCCTCTCCCACTGGACAGAGGACTCTCAGCTGGGGACGATGCTCTGCCCACAGTGGGATCACAGGAACCGCCTGTTCTTTGTCAGTCCTTTGGTGTACTTGGATTCCCCCAATTTCTTTCTATGAAGTAAACACCCCTATTTCTTAAGCATTAATGAAACATAAGAGTGGTGTTTTTCCTCTTTGGGAACCTTCCTCCTGTTGGGTGAAAAGAAGGTGGGGGCTGGGGAGGCTGAGGAGAGCAGGTTAAGAGTCCAGATGCCCCTCGCCCCTCTGCTGCCCAGCTTCATGGAAATGACGAGACGGGCGGGCCTGACAGGAGCCAGGATGTCCCCAGGCTTGACGCAGAGCCGTGGCCTCGCCTGCTGACTTCTCAACGGACTCTCTTCCTCTCCTTTGTCAGAATGCAGGGCTGGTGACGGTCACCACCAGCCCTCTCAACTGTGGCCCCCGTCTGAGGGTGCTCCTGAGCCGCCCCTCCAATGAGAAGCTGCTGATGCTGCTCCCCGTGGGGTACCCCAGCAAGGAGGCCACGGTGCCCGACCTCAAGCGGAAACCTCTGGATGAGATCATGGTGACGGTGTAGGCCGGAGACCAGCAGGGAGGTGCTGGCAGGTGGTGCCCCTGCTCCCCTCTCTCCCATTCCTCTTGGCTGGGTCTCCGAGTGGCTCTTTTCTCTGGGTGCTGGGTCCCCTGGCACTCTGCTTCCCAGGGTGTGGGGTGCGGGGAGGGGAATCCGTGGGTGAAGAAACCCTTGCACATCCTCCGGCACTGAGTCTGAGACCCCCACTCTGGCAGCCGGTGTGATGAGATGAGTGAGCACACAGAGCATGAGCAGCACACCTGTTCTCTCCCATTTCTCCTCCACCCTGGGAATGCAGTTTTACCAAGAACATGCTCTGGTTTTTAAGTTTTTAAAGGTGTTCTAGAAGAATCATGGGTGATGTTTTTCTTTTACTTAAAAAAAATACTCATCTAGAAAGCACAGTCATCAGAAAATTGAACGTAATCCCAAGAATTCAGCTATGTGAGGTGATTCTTGAATTTAAACTTAGACTAAATGGTAATGGAACAAATACAATAAAAAGTGAAAAAAAAACTTAGACTAATCAATGACCCTCTGCCCTCAGGATTTCTGGTGGCTTTTAGGCAAAGAATGTGCTTCTGAGACACATTCTTTTCCTGAATCTCATGGAGATGCTGCCGGTTTTGAATAACAATTAAAAATAATGAAAACGCTGCACTCACAGAACGGTGCCCACACGCGTGGGGCGGGGAGGGCGGATGGACAGCCGTCTGAACCGTCTGGACGCGGACGGTTACCCGCGCGGGTGGGTGGCGTGTGGGAGCCGGCTCATCTCAGGGACCGGCGGGCCAGCTGTTCAACCACTCGGGGCTCGAACGCGCCCACGGTGGGAGCCTTTACATCCCTGTCATTAGGTGATACTGCAAACCAGCACTTCCTTTTCTCCTTAAAGAGAACCGTCTGCATCCACAGCACCAGCCCAGTCTCCCTTCTGTTCTCCTCCGTCCCCCAAGTCATACCTGGCCCTCCCCTCTAGGTGGCAGTGTGCTGTGCAGCGCAAGAGGGTCGCAGGCGCTGGGGTGGGAATGCCAGTCCTCCATCTGTCACCCGGTCTTCCCTTCCAGGGGGCGGGGCCATGCGCACGGCACACTCCGAGCCCAGATGCCTGTTCATCAAGCGGCCCGCTCCTCCTTTGCCCCCCCCCCCCCGCACTGTCCCTTTTCATTCCTTCATGTGCACGCATTTCTTTTTCCTCAGGCCCCTCGTGAAAATCTCTTACCTCCTTTCATGCCACTTGTGAGTCATGCAAGTATCATTGTTGTCAGAGTCAGAGCTGGTGGCAAATCTGTGTCAGAGAAAAGGATAATGCATTTTCCCCTTTCACATATAATTAGATATTACAAGTACTGTTCCCTCATCCTGCAAAGTCCTTTGAAGTAACCAGAAGCCTCTCTCAGAATCTCCAAAATCTTCTATCCTCATCTTCATTTTTCTTTCTTCTTTCTTTTTTTAAACGATTTTATTAATTTTTTTAGAGAGAGGGGAAGGGAAGGAGAAAGAGAGGGAGAGAGACATCAATGTGGGGTTGCCCCTCACGTGCCTCCAACTGGGGACCTGGCCCACAACCCAGGCACGTGCCCTGACTGGGAATCGAACCAGTGACCCTTTGGTTGGCAGGCCTGTGCTCAATCCACTGAGCTACACCAGCCAGGGCTCTTCAATTTTCTTTACATTTGCTTCCCCGCCCCCCAAGTCTACACATTTTAATAAATACAAACTTTCTTATATTTTATTTCTATCCTTTTTGTAAAAAACAAACAAACAAACAAAAAACAAACACTAGTATTGTGACAGGTGTTTGTCCTGTACTGGTTACCATAGATGAGCTTCACTTTAACCACCTGTGGCTTTGTTGGACCTCATGGGGCTCCCCTGGGAACCTAATCGCTGGGCTTCATATTGTTTTAATAGGAAAAAGACACTCTCAGGTTCTAATAGACACACTCTGGCATCACAGTACAAAACACTGAAGTTATATTTATAAACTTCTATTCCTTACATTTGGAAACTGTTGTATTTGCATCCAGGGAGCTCTTGGCTAGTTTTCGGTCACCCTGCTCAGATGGGCTTCAAATTTTGCCTCTGGGGGTGGGAGGTGGAGAGGGAATCTGGCCAGTGGCGAAGGGGGGAGTCTGAGTATAGTCCTTCAAGTACAAAGCCACTTGAGAGGAAAGAAAATGTCAAGATTGCAAATGAGTTAGAGGCCCTTGAGGGAAAGATTGCAAAGGGCTGGCCGCCCTCCAGATCACCACACCCAGAAACGCAGCCCGGATTCGTCATGGATGCTGAACATGAGCACAAAGGCACAGGTCTGGGGACATGCCACCGACAGCTTTGTCTCTGGGGGGGGGTAGGAACCTCGGGAAACAGAAGTCCCGGGTTCAGCTTGCTTGCGGGGAGCTTGTCAGGCAGTGAGGGAAGGGAAGGCAGCAGAAACGAACAGCACATTCCATCCTTCCCGTTCCTGGGAGGCTGGCCTTCCTGGGAAGAAGGAACACCCGCCCCTCCCTGCCCCAACACACCCAACTGCTGTCTGCTGCTGTGTTCCGACCTCGGCAGATCAGTGCAGCCCCCAGCCCGGGGACAGGTAAAGATTATTTTCTTCCTTCCCTCTGCAGCCTCAAGCTCTTCTTAACTTTCTTTTACGTGTTCATTGAATGCAGTCATGGAGTGGCCGTGTTCAGAGCAGAAAGAGGGGTCTGGTAAGCTTCTAGATCAGGGGAATGGAACTCATGGTCACCGGGGGCCCCATCGGCCTCACAGTTGCCTTCAAAGGGCCGAATGTAATGTCAGGACTGTGTAAATGTAACCACTCCTTAACAGTTCAGCGAGAGCTCAGTGCTGCCGCTGGGCAGAAACAAGGCACTGAGCCGGATAAAACAAGTGGAGGGCCGGATTCAGCCCGCGGGCCTTGTGGTTGTCACCCGTGTTCTTGATCCTTCTGTAGTTGTGAGACCCTAAAATAGAGGGGAATAATGGAGTGTATGGATTGTTGTGAGGAAGAATAATTAATTAAGAAACTTAGAAAATCATCTGTGTCCCATCAACAGACTTTCTGGAAGACTCCTGCCTTGCCAAGGCGGCAGTGCTAGTTGAGAGCTGGGTGGGCCAGGATAGGCCAGAGTGGCGGTCCCCACATGTCCGCCTGCACCACAGCCACCTGGAGGGCTTGTTCGGGCACAGGCCGCTGGCCCCACCTCCAGAGGGTCTGACCTAGTAGGACAGGGTGATACTGAGTCTAACAGGTGACCAGGTGACACTGTGTGGCTGCCTGAGCACCCACTTGAGAACCATGGGGCTGTGGCAATCAACAGCTCTGACCCCTCGGTGACTGAAGATGATGAGAGTCCATTTCCTGGGCCCAGGCCCCTGCAGGCCCCGCAGCACTCTGAGACCTTTGTTCTCCAAGGGTCACTCAGCTGTTCCGCGGCTGCACCATCCGGGCCACATCGCCTCCCGACCCGGGGGAAGACAACGTCAGTCGAGGTGCCCAGCCCAGCAGTGCAGTCCCTCAGCACAGGGCGACTGCCTCACTCTCAGAACCCGCTGGGCAGGGCCGGTCACGTGGCCGCAGCAGAGGGAGGGGAAACGCCGTCCTCCTGTGCCTGGACGGAGAGGCCACCGAGATGCGGGCAGGCGTTAGACGTCTCTTTCGCAAGAACAAATGATAATGATAATAAAAAGCGAATGTGGGAAATTAAATAGGATATAACAGAAAAAGAGGGGAGTGGAAGGGAAGTTGAAGAAACTGGTGAAATTAGAACTAGATGGTGAAAGGCATGAAGATTCCCTTCTGAAAGGTTTACGTGAAGTTTGGTTGATATTTCCCTGACACAGCTTTTCAAAACGGTATTAGGAAGTTCAATACAAATATATACAGAGAGAGAAAGAAACAAAAATTCCCTTCATTCTAAACTTTCCTGCCTCTGCCGACAAAGTGGAAACTCCTAACTCAGAAGTACTGGGGAGAGTTCCCTCTGTCCACTCACGAAAGGAAGGGGGTTTTTCTGGTTAGCGAAATTGGGGGGAAATGGGTTATTGCACAAGCTCAAACATCAACAAAGTGTACTCCATTTTAAGCCGTATGTGCGAGTTAGGAGTGATTATTCCCCTTAGACAGATGGTCCACCAATTGGTTTCTCTAAATAGAGGAGTTTTCGAAGAGTACTGAAACTGATTAAAAAGAAATTGTTAACATCTTTTAGTGACATCTCTAACCTGAAGCAAAACACAGTTATCAATGATTGTTTTGCCCGATAGGCATGAGAAATATAATTAACTTATTTTGCCAGCTACCAGCAGAGTGCTCATATCACTTGGTGAAATGAGAACAGTTGTAAGATTTTGACCCACACATATCCATCAACAGCGGAGAGGCTAAAACAAATGTGGCTCCAGCTCAGCCGCTGCAAAGCCCTCACGCCCGTAGAAGAAGCCCTGGGCATCCAGAAAAGGAGGCCTCACCTGCCTGTTGGAGACTCACCTGCCTGTTGGAGAGAGGTGGCTAACGTGGGGGCACCTGGTAGAGAGACGACAGGCCGATGCACCTGCAGCTGAGACCGGACCAGCTCCTCTATGGGGTGTTCGGGCAGACAAAGCCCGAGGGAGTCCCGCAGCTGCCGGGGAGGTCCTGCCAAGTTACATACAGTCGTTCTGATGAAATGCGAGAGGCTCTGATCCCATTTGGGGAACCCCTAAAGTGTCACAAGGAAGGGGAATGGTTTGTGTTATTATGGTAATTTTAAAGTCACGGTGGTGTGGAGCCAGTTGTTTAGGATTAAACTCAACAGCTTTGACATTCCCTTAGAGCAAGCAGTGTGGAAATGGGCCAGCCGTGTCTGCAGAGGGCCAAGGAAACAAGAAGCAAAATGAAGTCCTTAAGGAAGTTAGCTAATTTGGGTGGAGATGGAGTTGCTGACTCCCATCTATTCTAATAATTAAAACTAAAGAAGAATAATCAAGAGGTCACTGGAATTAAGGTTCTAACATCAAAGCCCCCTGAAGGATGTCCCCTATTGTCGTAGCAACCATAGAAAGGACCCAGGTGCTCACTTTCCTGCTGACTCTGGTTGCTAAGCAACCTCAGCTTATCCTATGGCCATCGGGAGTTCCTGACTCCACAACTTTGATTCCCTGGAGGCAGAGAACCTGCTCCCTTGTTGAATGACTTTGCACACCTGGGACTGTTTAGAGTTAAATACGGTGATAATGAAATAAATCACACCCATAATATTGGTGCTTTCATGTTAAGCTTAGGAATCATCTGGTGTGTGTTTCTTAAGTGATTTTTTTAAGTGGAAACGTATGATCTGAGAATGCGAAATTGATTTTAAACTTGTGATTTTACG